GCGGGGTTTTTTTGGTGCAAAAGCAGACTCGGTGTAGCGAAAGGCAGCACCGCTTCAAAGAGATTTCTTCATGAGGGTAACTCAGCGAGGAGCGAGGCGGAAGCCTTCCTTCGGTGTTTCTGACACTTGAGCCGTTTTGCGTGAAAACCCCAGCGTTGTGTTTGAGCAGGAAAGGGAAGGGTTAGAGGACCTGAAAGCACAAACCGCAGGGCCCGAGCTCGAGTGGCATCGTGGGGAGGTGTCGCTGCTTTGAAAGGCAGCGTTTTTCGTGGTTCGCTTTTCTAGGCGGCTCCACGAAGCCAAGCCTTATCGGTTTCATTCTGAACCTGCTCGCCAGGCCGGGGAACAATGGATGGGCTTTAATACCAGAGTAAATCTCCAATATCCTGGATTTAGGCTGTTGTAACTCAGAGCGGGATTTGATCTCCTGCGCACAGGATCAGTCAATACAGGATTTTCCTGGCTAAATGCTTTAAAACACGACGGGAGGAAAGATTATGGCGGGGCGGGTTGTGTCTCTGTAACCGAATTAGACTATAATTGCATATCTCGGTTGCTGATGGCGCTGAGGTCGGTGGAAGCGTGTACTGAATCAATGAATTCGTGACAGCTGAAATTTTCCCCAGCTCAGCCTTTGGATTGCATTCAAAACTTTATCTGAGGAAACAACGGTGTGTTAATTTGCTGCGTGCTTTATTTGAAGTGTTCTGGAAACCTGGAACCAGGCCTTGGGTTTTTTTTTTTATTTGCCTAAAACTCCGCCTGTCTTCAGTGGGAGCATCACCTAAAAGCGCGAGCCTTTTATGTGGTTAAATAGGTAATTGATATGGGTGTGGTTATACCACTTGGTTTTAATACAAATAGCAGCGTGCTTGGGAGCAGAGAGAGGTGGGTGGTATAATAATAGCATTTAAAACTCTTTTAATAAATATTTAGGTTGGGATAAGGCTGGGTACTAATTGCTATTAGCAGTTCATTATTATCAGATGTGTATTTGCTGGAGAGGTGCGGTTCTGGCGAGTTGACCACGATGGCTGATGAAGGGATTGTGGCCCTTCTTCCTCGCTGGCTCAGGGGTTGCCTTCATCCCTGGTTCTTGCATTCATGCTGTCTTGCTCACTGAACCACACCTGAAACTCAGCCCTTAAAGTCCAAGTGGACAGCTAGTCTCTTGTGAAAGAGGAAGCTGAGTGATTCTGAGCCTGATGATGGTACTCGTACGTATTTGAAGGGCAGCGGCTAAATTAGTGGAATTGAAATGAAAGTCTAACCATGGGCTATTCCTATTAAGTAGGAATAAAACTAGCTTCATCAGAAAAGGCTGCCCATGACTCTGTTAACAGGTTGAGTGTAAAGAATTTAGTAGCGCTTTTTTTTGACTGTTAGGTGTGTTGTGATGGAGTGACTTAAAAGCTATTTGATATATAAGGCAGTGACAGTATCGCTGAAATAAATCACACTGTTCAGCTTGTTTATCTTCCTTTTTCTCTTTTTAAGGCTGTACAGGAAATGTGACTTTTTGGTTCTTCCTTAGAAGTAATCTGATTTCTAGTTTTATTTTAATGGATTTTTTACTTATTTAAGTTTTATTCTGTAAAAACAGAATGAAAGAGATGTAACATGGTAGAAATGCTGTCGGAAACATACGTGGTTAATCAATTGTGTTTATTTCTTCTAGGGAAAATCCAGAACGTACCTTTGATTTGGTACTGCAAGTAAAATGCCAAGCGTCTGAAAATGAAGGTAATATACTGTGCCTGTTGGGTTTTATTTATCGATATGAGAGGCAAAAAACCCCCAGCTTGCATTGTCATCTAGTGTCATCTTATGTTTTCAATTGCTGCTGGGTTGGGAATGTATTAGAAAGTTACTGTGGTTATTTTATTGCCTTTTAAAAATCTATTAATGTGTTAATTCATAGTTGTGGGCTTTTATTGTTATGTGGGTTTTTTTTTTTGGCTACTGTAAAAATATTTTTGTTCCTAGAGAAATACTTGCAAAGCTTATACTTGAAATGTACCTTCTACACTTCCTAAGTCTTGAAATGTTGATTTTATGTAAGATTTCATTTTAGCAGAACAATTGACTCCTGTTGGTGGCATGGTAATTTCGATGAGTGTGGTAGGAAGAGAGTAAGTTCTTTACTGAGCAACAAAAATAGACTTTCTCGTTTGTTTTTGGCACCTTCTTTGGTTTGATACACAGTACAAATGAGTGCTGACTTGAGCTTACATTAGCCTTCAGTTTCATGTCTCTGTAAACACGTGGTAAAAGAGATGCAGCAGCAAGAGTTAACCGAGAGAGGCTTTCTTCCTCTTGGGCAAAAAGATGAGATTTCCAGTGCTGAAATTCAAGTGACCTTCAGAAAGTCCATTGAGGAAACTCTGTTCACGTTCTCATCCAAAGGAGTTGGCCTTATGAAAGCACAGCGACAGAAGAAGTCTTGGCGTTGCGTTCCAGTCCTGTTGGTCTGCAACAGCTGTGTCTTAATCACAGTTGTAAAAGCAATAAACTACATCTTAAAATGGAGCGTATTTTTTGTCCTAATGTGCTACTGGGTGCTGTTCCTAGAGTTTACTACTCTTAACTAAAGTTAGAAGCCTGTAGAAGTTTAGAACCCCAAACTATTCCTTTTTTTAAATTTCAGCCAGCATTTCTGTTAGTGATGTCATGGATATTTGCCCAATATGTTTACAAAAAACATTCTGTTGAAGGCAAACAGTTGTAATTCTTTCAGTCCTTTCGTGGCAATCCCAACAGGCTTCTCTGTGCCTATGTGTTACATATTATCTGTTAGTGATATCTCAAGTTCCTCTGCTTTTCTTTTTTTTCTTTTCTTTTTCACCTCTTCATAAGATTGTTCGTTTAGCTGTGGAATGACATCTTTGTCCGGATGCAGTCCTTGGTTATTCTTATTTCTTTTTTTGGTGACCAGCCAGCATCCTTTCGTTTATTGCCTGCCTTTTTTTGATTTGCTGTTTGTACAGTCATGGTTTGGGGAATAGGACAGGCTTTCCCAGCTCTGGTCGTTGTTGTGGTTTGTATGATGGTGCACTTTCTGTTCTCTCCCTTTTGCAGTTTTTACCTTAGTAATTTCATAGGCGATGTCTGTGAACCCTGCTTAGCTGCTTGACTTCTGCTCTCTTCCTCTCTGCGTTGTGTGTTTAGTCTCTGCCTCCACCTGACATCCCTTCCTGGGGGCTCATTCACGTCTCGTCTTAGGTCCAGCTTTAGCCTGCAGATTTTATTCCCTTTTCTTCCTTTCTCTCCTGAGAACTACACTGTTGATAATTCTTTCAGGTCTTCATCTTGAAATCTTGAAAAATGTGTTGTTTTTTTTTTTTTTTCCCTCCTGCAATCACTGAGTACATATCTCTATCTTTTTAATTCCTTTTATCTCCCTTTTGACTTCTGTTTTTTTTTGTTTTGCCTCTTTCTGCCTTTCTGCTCGTTACCCGCAGCTCCGTGAATGGCTGCCAACGCCTGAATTCTCGTCATAGTCACTTCCCCTGCCTCCCTCTGTGGGTGTTCTCTGCTGTTCACCAGTTGTCCTCTGTGGAGAGCAGCGTCTTTTAGAAATCTGTCTCCCTCCTTGAACTGTGACCTGAGTTACAGCGGAGACTCTGTTGGTGACTGCACTGTGGATTCACCCTCTCCTATTTCACTCTTTGCCATCATCTCTTCTACCCTGCGTGGGCTCGGTTGCTCTTTGTCCGTGGGGTGGCCAGAGGGAGGAAGAAGGTCCGATACCAGTAGCGCTGGGCTCTGCGGCGTGTGACTGGCGAGGGCTTGAGAGGAGATTGTATGGATTCTTGCACGAGTCCTCGGACCAGCACAGAAGTACGAGACTGATTGTGCTGGCTGAATAGTCTAGTCACCATCCTGCCGTACTTGGTGACCCAGCTGGGATTTGGTTTTGATTTCTTTCATGCTCTATCTAATTCAGATAGCAAACCCACCGCAGGGAGGGCTTGATGTGATATTTACGTATGGTATTATGAGTCCAGTTTCAAATTAATATATCTTTGAGTGTTTAAAGTTATTTAAAGGAAATTCAGAAGGGACGAAAGTGTATTGTCTTCACTACTACTTTAGAAATGGAGCACAAGGCTTGTCATGCTAAACAGGGGTCTTTCAAGGTTGGTTTATTATAAGGCCTAACAAATTTGACAGTTACCCTGTATTGTAGGTCTTGCCTTTAAATAGATTTTCATGCTAGGATAATCTTTTGAATATATCATACTTGAAAACGTGGTCCATTCACCTGTTTCTTTGCTCATGCTTCTTTCTTTCTTATGAAAGAGATTTGTGTTTAAATAGGGGCTTTCTCCCTCGCATCCCATCTGCTCCTTGCACTTGATCCTGAAGCTATGTCAGGGCTAAATTTGTGACATCACTGTCACCAGTGTTGCTGTGGAAATATCACAGCCTCAAAATTATGATCTTCCTGCATGAGTGAGCAGCAGGAGAAGCCGACTTAGGAGGGAGGAAGACCTTAACGTGACCCACGTATCTTTAAGCTTTTTCTTTTCAAGCTTTGCTGTAGCATGTGTTCTCCTGCATTTTAATTTCCCTGTGCCAGCATGTAACTGTTCTAACAAAAAAAAAAATCGAAGCAGCCCTACTCCATGTGTAGCTATTCGTAGGATGATATTTTTATGAGGACGCTATATGCCTGCAACAGCGTGACGTGACGGAAAATGTTGCTGTTAAAATTATTGTTAATTAGACAGTTGAGGCATATATTCCAAAGAGGAGGAAGAAAAAAAAAAAGCCTGTAGGACCAAAATGAAGTTGTAGCCCATGTCACAGTGTCCAGTCCTTTGCAGCATCATCAAGGTGGTCAGCATCAGTTAGCACAATACGTTGAAACATAGTCCCTAGTTACTTTTCCTTTGTAGAATCCATAGCCTGATTCTTCTAAAACTTGTAGATAATTTCTGTTCGCCAGAGTTGGCTAAGTGGCTAGGAGAGGAGTGCTAAGCTATTCTAACAGCCCAATGTTTGCTAATTGTAAATTTGCCTTACAGTGTCAGTAGCGCCTTAGAGCAGAAGGTTTTACGTTGCCTTCCAGGCAGTTGCAGATTTTTTTAATTCTTTCTTGTGTCACTCCTTAATGAACAAACAAACAAAAGAAACAACAAAAATGTGTGCCTGTTTTAAAGTCATCGGCTGGCCTTCCGTATTAAATTTTCACTTCCACATCCAGAGGACAGCTTGCTAACAGGTAGCGGTATTATCCAAACCAGTGTGTTATTTTAAGGATAAGCCTTATGCTTTAGGTTTAAAAGGTGCAAAATTTTTGCGCTTTGGGTGAATTGCCATTTCTAGGTACCAGGAGCAATGCAGTGTTAAGGTAGCCCTGAGTGCAGAGAAAGCGCTCTGCAGATTTTATTCTCTTTTCTTTTTTCTTTTTTTCTCCCCCTTTTTTTTAATACAAGTTCTTCCATTGTGAAAAGTAAACTATATTTCTGCGACCTTAATGTTTTCTGAACTCTTCCACAGAATGTGTCCAGAATAATAGTGCCAGTGTCATTTTTGTGAAGAGTGTGTGTTTATCTGCACATGTACAAACAGTATGTGTGTGCACACGCATGTGTCTGTACTTCAGATTTTGTTTCAATGCGTGAAGGTAAAGTTGGCCATTTAGCTCATTCTATAAACTGCAAGCCCTATATTGATTTTATGAAAAATGGACACGAAAGGCAATGGAAATACAGCAGCTGGCAGTAGAAGGGCAACGTGCAGCAACTTGTGTGAACATCAGATCTTCAACATTTCTGCCCCCAGTTCCCCAAGAAGATGACTCAGATTGGTTTCAGTTTGTGTGGTTAAGAGAGTGCTGCTTGCTACACCTTCCTTCTGGTTATAGCACATACGAAAAGCAGCAAAAAGGTTCCACGGGGCATGCGAGTAGATCCAGAAGATTCAACCACTTCGGACTGCTTTAGTCCTGACCAAGTTTCACTTGAAAATCCATTTGAAAATTCCTTTGAAAATTTTCACTTGAAAATCCCTGCTATTTTCTGCTGAATTTTCTGTTCAAGCAAAGAATAATTGTGTGAACAAGGCTTGAAATTTGATGGCTTTGTCTCTATTTCCTCTTTAGATGCTAGGAAGCCTTCTCAAGCTCCAGGGCTAGATACATGGTTTTTGGAGAAGGTGTTTAATAGGTTGTGTTGAATTGCGTGACTCACTCCTGTAGTTTATCTTGCCTGTGCCAGAATGTTAATAAATCTTAGTGATGCATGATATCTAAATTATTTTCCTGTAAAGGGTCTTTCAAGGAAAAGCCACGAAAAACAGTTTAATCGTGTATTGATGGAGTTAAGAACTATATGAATTAACTCCAGGAATTGGGCCTGAAGTGCAAAATTCTTTGTATGAGGTTTGACTGTGGTTTGTAAGGTACTGATAAGTAACTCCAGGGAGGTCTCAGTTCTGAAAAAGTTTAATGCAGCTGGTAGTTCTGTCCATGGGTTGCCTGTCTGGCTTTGGTAGGGTTTTGATTAAGAGTCTTCCAAGCTGTTTTCAGGAGCAAGCACTATTGTTTGTTCTTCTTTATTTTCTTTTTTTTTTGTCGTCACTGTAGAGGGCTGTTTATTAACCACAGACTCTGAACCTGTGGGTGTAACGTGCTGATCAGATAACTCTATTCCTCTGCCGTAATTTTTTTTTTGCAGAGCATCGCTTGAACCTGATTAAAAAGATAATTCTATCAGTGTAATACATGAAGAAATCAG